TACCCACAAGGTTCCATCATTGATCCATTTTATATCCTCTAGAGTTAGGTTTCCTAACTCTCCTGGTCTTCTCATCGCCCCGATGCAAGTGAAATGTTTGGAGTTCTACTCCCTTATCGATACAGCAAACCGTCAGTATTGGAGATGGGACGAAAGGATTTGTCTGTCAGAGCAAGCAAAAACGGATGTGCGTTGGTTGTTGGACAACCTGGAGACATACAATGGCTGCCTGGCCTGGAGACCATCGTTAATAAAGACCCTGTATGTAGATGCCTCAACAACCAGTTGGTGTGCAAAATTGAATAGACAAACGGCATTCAGAAATTGGCCGGGAGCTCTAAGTTTTCAGGAAATTGCAAAGCTGGAAGCGGAAGCTCTTCTGCTCAGCCTTCGGAGTTTCACAAATTTGTTGAGGGGGTTTTGGGTTTTAGTGTTTATAGACAGTCGTACAGCACTAGTGACAATGAAGTTAGGCAGAAAACGCTGGTAGCAAAAAGAAGCCTACAGAAATATGTGGCAAATTTGTTTGGAAAAGGACATTTGGATCTACAAGATGAGGTGGGTCCCTTTGGTCCTAAACCCAGCAGATTTTTGGACCCAAGTCTTCGACTCCTCGGATTGGCAGGTCAGGGAGGAGGTTTTTCAACAGATAGAGGCTGCGTTTGGGCCACATTCGATAGATCAAATGGCGTCGCATCTAAATATAAAGGTGCAAAGGTTCAACAGTTATCATTTTTGCTCAGGTTCAAAAGCGATAAATTGTTTTACCCAGAAGTGGGAAAATGAAATAAATTATGTGTGCCTCCCTCTACATTTAATACAAAAGGTTCTCCATCATGTAAAAAGTTACAGGGCAAGGGCTACAATTGTAATCCCGGAATGGTTGTCAGCCGAATGGTGGCTGCTGTTTCTAAAGCTAAATTGGGAGGTGTTGATCCTGCCAGATCCAAGAATCGCATTTGTGCCCGGCCCGTCGGGTCTTGTAGAATCTTGGGGAAACTCAGTGGAAATTTCTGGTCATCCATATTCGTCCATAAAGGAGTTATCAGAGAGGGCAAAGCAATTAGCAAGAAACGCGCTGTCCCTCTTCTACAAAGCTAAATCAGAGAAGTTTTGGGACCTTTATAAAAAATTTTGTAAGAAGTTTTGCCTGAATATGGAGAACCCACTCGAAGAGGGTATTTTGGTGTTCATTATGTGGCTAGATATAACGGGCCTGGGGTCACAAACCCCCAGAGTCCTACAAGTGGTGGTAAATAACCTGTGTTTTGAAGGAAAAGAGGACTTTAGAAAGTTGTTAGCCATAAAACAAGTATTAAGAGCGATAAGGAAGGAAGCTTCAAAAAATAAAACACCAGATTGGCCACATGACCCATTACCGATTATAGCATTGAGATACTATATGGATGTGCCACCCTACAGGGCCGATGTATCAATGTACAAGAGGAACATAGCCTTAGTGGCTCTTGGATTAAGGACGATGAGAAGACCAGGAGAGTTAGGAAACCTAACTCTAGAGGATATAAAATGGATCAATGATGGAACCTTGTGGGTA